ACAATTGGATCGAAAAGATTCAACGACTCATTGGTAGGGTTATGCCCCAATGAAAATTAACCGATGTCGGTTGGCCACCAAAACTCAGTAACCGTAAGTCGTAGCCACCTAGGATCTTCACCAATGATCATCAATTTATGTGACTTTGAAAATGCCTCAAGGTCAAACTTGTATGTTGACCTTGACCTTTGACCTAACACCTTGTTATGGGATAATTTCAGAAACCATGATACTTACAGAAGTTTTGAATAGTGGAAAATGTTTGAGTCAATAAGGCGCAACTTTGTTACATTTTGACCGAAGAGATTTGACCTATCCGTAAGGGGCATAACCCTGTTAACTGTTTTAGAAAAGACAAATTAGCTTTAACTCATGAGCCAAAGGTCCCTGATCCATCGTGACTTCAGCAATGACATTTGGGACCAATGACCTTGACAAAGGTCACAAGTTCAAAGGTCAGTTTCAAGTCCCAGATAGCGAATTAAGTGTTTTTAACCTTATTTAAAGGATTTTAGTGTGTTTTCAAACTTTTTAAGGTTGACCTTGACCTTTGACCTTACAGCTTTTTATTGGATATCTCAAAAACGATTATACTTACAAAAATAGTAAAAAGTGAAAAATGTTTAGGTGACTAAGGCACAACTTTTTTTATATTTTGACCGAAGAAATTTGACCTATCCGTAAGGGGCATAACCCCTATTAACTGTTTCTGAAAAAACAAAATTAGCCTTAACTTTTGAACCAAAGGGGTCTTTTAAACTGACATTGTAGACCAATGACCTTGACAAAGGTCAAAAGTCAAGGTCATTTTGCATATAGCGGATTATGTGTTTTTGTCATATTTTAAGGGTTTTATGTGTGTTTTGAGCTTTTCAATGCATTCTACGTCTATTGAAACAAATCTTTTACATTACGAAAAGGGAAGACCTCTCAATTGTTCAAGAACAATTGACATTTTAATTATTATTATTATTCTTTCCGCCGAACTTTAACGACATTTCCCCAAAAAAGTACGCGACATGTTAAAATGATATTAGGTATCTTGTATCGAGTGACCAAAAGCTATCTTGTGGTTAGGGCACGACTGCGTAACATTTTATTTATAGCGGTTATCTCCCCTAAACCCGAAAACCTTGTTATCAATCTAACTCCATAACCATAACAAGTAGAAAAAAAAACGAAAGGTGGAATTTGTTCAGCAGCGGACCCTGGTTCTTCGTTACATTTGGATCGAAAAGATTCAACGACTCATTGGTAGGGTTATGCTCCTTTGAAAATTAACCAATGTCGGTTGGCCACTAAAACTCAGAAACCGTAAGTTGTAGTCACCTAGGATCTTCACCAATAATGATCAATTCACGTGACCATGAAAATTGACCTACGGTCAAAGGTCAAGGTCATGACCTAGATTTTGACCTTAGCTTGTTATCGGATTTCCTCAATAACCGTAAAAGATGGCTGATAAAATGTTACAGAGAAAATGTGTGTCTTGGCGAGATCTACATTTGTTATGTGGGTTCAAATTATTGGACCAACTATTATGAACCAAGGGCACCAAAACTGTTTTTCGGGTCCGAAATGATGATTTTTTGCTTATAACTCAAAAGAAGTTAGAGATAGAAAGAAATTTTGAAATGCAAAAATGTTCAGCATAATAAGATCTATAAAATTAGGTCAATATCAGAGGTCAAGATCCATAGCAACGACATAAACACTTTAGCAACCATATATTTTTGAACTTAGAAGGCTATGAATAATATAAATATGAAATGTTTAATACTGGAAATGACATTTTTGTCCCTAGCAACGACATATAAGTCCTTAGCAATCACTTATTTTTTTAACTTGAAAGACTATGAATAGTATATGACATTTCTAATACTGGAAGTAATATTTTTATCCGTAGGAATGATTTTTATCCTTAGGAATGATTTTTGTCCTTAACAACCACTTGATATGAACATAAAAGTCCTTAGCAACCATATCTTTTTGAACTAAGAAGGCTATCAATAAAAGAAAAAAGGAAATACTTTTTAATTGCTTTACATTTTTTCTTGTCGAAGCCTTTTATAGCTTGCTATGCGGAGGATTTTTGCTCATTGTTGAAAGCCATATGGTAACCTATAGTTATTAACGTCTACGTCATTTATTTTCTTGTGACAATCATACCACATCTTCTTATTCTTATATCAGCCGCCGTGCGAATCCACAAGCAGTCAAAATGTCACAATAGAGAAAGGAAATATCCGGTGAATTTACTGATCAGACGACTATTCGACTGCAATCTAAAGATCAAAAACCGCAAAAAACGTGTCGTTTGTGACATGAACATGCACAGACTCATCGTATCGGTCAACCAATTCTTGATGATGACATTAAAACGTATGTAGGGTCGATTTCAGTCGATTTTCTTCATGACCATAATGGAACAGTGTTTGTGCCAGGAGCAACGCCTTGTTAATGAAAACATCCATACAAGGTGAACATGCAGATTTTATCTTGTAATTTTTTTCTAATTATGAGCCAGGTCATTGTCTGTTTCGTTTCACATATTCTATCTTTAATATTCTTTTACTCTCGAAAAATGGATAGTTTTTGAATTGCATGTTTTAAATGCTCCATGTTGATTGCTTAGAATATAAAGCTCTAGAACATCACAAATGTTTGAAAGAATGTTTGACAAAGGTACTGAATAAACTCACCATAGATACCAGGATTAAAATTGTGTACGCCAGACGCACGTTTCGTCTACAAAAAACTCATCAGTGACGCTTGAATCCAAAAAGTTTATAAGGTCAAATAAAGTACGATGTTGAGGATCATTGAGGACCCGAAATTCCAAAACGGTTATGCCATATGTAGCTAAAGTAATATATTCACGGGGAAAACAATCTTTAGTATTTTGAATGAAACGTTTTGCAAACAGTTAATTTATAATTAAGACCATATCAATGACTAAGAAACAGGTAAATGCTGAACGTATTTCCAAATATGAATATTCAGTTATCATGGTTATTTGACCGGAATTTGAAACATTTTTGTCGAGCCTTCGACTTTAGTCGAAAAAGCGAGACATAGCGATCCTACATTCCGTCGGCTTCGTCGTCGTCGTCATCGTCGTCGTCGGCGGCGGCGGCGTCCACAAATATTCACTCTGTGGTTAAAGTTTTTAATATTTTGATAACTTTCTTAAACTATACTGGATGTCTACCAAACTTGGACAGAAGCTTGTTTATAATCATGAGATAGTATCCAGAAGGAAATTTTGTTAAAATTTTGTACCTGTTTATCCGTATTTTACTTCTAAATGGACTTAGTTTTTCTTCCAGTTAACATTAAATACAGTCTGCAGTTAAAGTTTTTAAACCATTTATTAGATTCATAAACTATCCTGGATTTATACAAAACTTTGACAGAAGCTTCTTGCAATCAAAAGATAGTATCTAAAGGAATATTTTTATTGATTTTTTCCTCAATTTTGTTGAGCCTGTGATTAACAGCAAAGGTAGGCGAGACACTGGGTTCCGCGGAACCCTTACGAATTTTTTTTATATAGAGGATGTAATTTATCTGAATAATTTCCTTTTCAGACTTTACATTAAAAATTGCTGTAAATTGAAGAAAATAATTTATATTCTGGATTAAGCAGGTCAAATAACTGGATATTCGTATTTGGAATACCGTTGGTCAATCTGATATGCGTCTTTATAAATCCATAGTAGAAGAAGGATAACAAAAGACCGAAAATTTAAACAAGCTATACCTATAAACAACGCGAATGCAAGATGACAGGGAAAAGTCAAATACTTAAAGAATTTTCAAGCATAGCATATCAATAATCTTTTTAAATTTGTTATGCATTTTACTTTTAAGGTGACGAAAAGCAAGAACAGCTGATGGGTTAACAAATAAATTTAATTTCCTATCTCATGTTCAACCTTAGATCATGTCCGTTTCAAAGTCGATACCGACAAAGTCTAACGGGACTTCCGGATGGTACTCCGTTGGCCAGTCTGATAAGTTTTTTTTTAGATTCCTTCTGGTTGACTGTTTTTACAAGAGTTGTTGTCCACGGACATACATGCAGAAATTTGCTTGAACATTTCAGTTTTCCACAATATTGTTATATTATGCCATATATGTACTTCATATTTGGAGTTCGAGCATAAAGAGTAGCATGTACATGTCGAACGAAGGTTTCTTCATGTTCACTTGAGGAAATGTTACCGAATTTGTAGCCGAGAATATATCAAATGTCTTGAAAATATAGGCTCCCATAATAATTTATGTAGCTTTTCATATGTAAGTGTCAGCTCGTCCAATATAAACATTACAGCTGGTAACAACATTCTGTTGTCTATTCAATATCACCAGAGTAAAGTGATTTACGTTGAATCTCCTATCAAAAACATACCAGCCATCCAGGAAGAAAACTGATTCAATATCCAAGCTTTGAAGCACTTTTAACATCGAGATAATTCTTGTTTAATACAAAACAACCAGACAACTATCCATATAGTACAAAGAACAAATATTTAAATTGCATCAATTTGGACAAACAGCAAACAACGACATCCGTCGGATTACAGGCTCCTGGCTTACTTCAGAATGGGACGTCGTTGCGTTAAATCAGAGACATGTGTTGCTAACTACTACGTCATTTGGTCTCATTTTAGGAAAAACTGTCTGATTGGTAATCATATCACATCTTCTCATTTTTGCATTATGACGGTCAACCATCCTCTTATCTAGGATAGTTGTGTACAACAGAGTTAAAATGTGCCTTTCAAAATCCTTTTTTTTTGTTTCAACACGATTTTCTAAAATATATATCATGTGTTTGTCTTCCTGATCACCAATCGAAAACATATATGCAATCAAGTGGACACACTACAAAGAAAATACTTCTTTCTGCCTTAATACATGTAAGGATCACAAGTGTGTATCCGTAATTTAATGCAATGTGAAATTACGTATATAAGAAAAGTAACTTAGAGTAATATGTTTCAAATTTATTATCTCCCCTGACAACGTTCATCTCTGTCTACATCATGATTGTCTGGATTAAACGTGTTTTTATGAAGGCAGTCCACAAAAACTTTGTCACACATACATATTCTCCCCTTACAGGAACTGGGATGATCTGGAAAGAAAAAAATATCATAAAACTAAGACATTTATTACATTACAAGAGAGAATGCCATAATTACGCTGATTATTATTATCATTAATTACTATTATAATTACAAGTATTGGTTATTGATTATTATTATTATTATAATTATTATTATTATTACTATTATTATTATTATTATTATTATTATTGTTATTTTATTTTTTTTAAATTATTATCATTATTATTATTAGCAACAATCATTAATTTACTTTGACAGTTAACTGTTTCGTGATGAAGTTCATATGAGTATGGCCAAATTTTCGGCCAACATTCGTCCACACGATCATAGCAATCATCATGGTCTTTGCAACATCTGTAAAATAAAGTTTTAACTGTTTTCAAAGCGGGTACATTCAAATTAATGGTTGATAAGAAAACCATACAAAACGAGAATATATAAAACGGTCTTTACCTGAACTCAAATTTGACATAGACGTGTCAAATTGAAAACGTTAGTAATTAATGTTTCTCCCTTACTTATTTGATACCGTGTCAGTAATAAACCGAAGCAGTTAAAAGAACAAAAAAGTGTTATCCCGTCAAACGTCAATATGCATTTCCCAAGTTAGGAACCATGCAAGTGTTTGTCTTATGTATTAGAAATGTTGAACTTTCAGAAAAATTGTTATCTTGTTTAAACAACCATTTAGACACTTTTCTATTGTTGCCAACAGTATTTTGACTCCTAAATACTCATTGTTTTTTTATAGTTTCGATGGATTGCTGTCTAAATGATATATACCCAATATCTCCTTTAGTCTACTGATATTTGATTCATAAACTTACTGTAAGATTTTAGTATTTCAAAGGACACTATAAATCAAGCTGGTCATATTCCTACTTTTCACTAAGTGCAAACATTCTTCAATTGTTTTCATTTAACTTGGGTGTGTATTTTGTTGTAGCTTTTAAAGTAGTGCGTTAGATAGTCATTTGTTGAATTGGATTACTCAAAACATTTCTAAAATTAGAACGTTTTAGAGCTTGAAATATTAACAATTATTGTGTAGACACTTTATTGTTTAAGAGTGTATTTTGATATATTTTTGTTTTTACGTCGTTAAGTTGATTTAACATTGGCGTAGAACCCACACGTCCTTTTATTTATCCTAGGTATGCATACTAACTGATCTACACCGCGTCAACTGGTCTACCACTACCATACCATCCATAAAATCAACCTTGGTCGTTCATACTTACTGATCTACGCCGTCAACTGGTGTACCACTACCATGCCATCCACAAAAACACCCATAGTCTAGAAGTGCAGTGGCTTGGACCGCTCCGAAATAATAGGCCACTTGATATGCAAGGTTCCATAAAGCTCTCTTATTTCTCACGCTTCTCGTCTCTGCAACACAAATAAGAGTACAAGGTCAGCGGCCATAACACTTTACACAGTACTCGGAGTATAACATTTGTGCTCGAAACGCCAAATCCAGTATTTTGATTGGTTGATTTTTTAGTATAAGCTTCAAGTTTTATAATCTAAAGCTCAGAAGTTTGCCTACAATCACAAATATATTTATTGAAATTGAAATTATACATATAATTCTTATTAAGTTTCATATTTCGGTGCTTTTTACTTTTTTTTTCTTTTATATGTCAGGTATTTGGTATTTCCACAAGAGTTCTTAATCAAATCTAAGGAAGATAGAAGGCGGATAACAACATGCGACCAGTGTATACAATAAGGGTGGATAAAAGCAAGAACTAGTACACTGCAAGGTCAACATTAAGGAGTTGATTAAATTTTGGTGTCGTCTGGCTATTCCTACATTTTGAATTTTCGTATTCTGTCTATTCCTACATGGAAAGAACAATAAAGCTACTGGTGAAATACTGACTACAATTTAATTTTCATTGGGAATCCCATTTAATTGTATGTGCCAAACTTGCAAAATTCAAAAGAAGGGAATTATATCATCTTATGGGCATTAGACTATTTGCTTCAGCATCAAATAAGAAGCATTATTTATTATGAAATATACAAAGATGAGCTTACACCAATTCCTACTATTTGTGAAAAAGAATTAGTAAAACTTGAATTTTGAAGGGAATGATGATGCAAAACAACTTGTAGAACACATACACACCTTCTATGCCTGCAAAGAACAGCTATATACCGAAAGACACAAGACATTGCATGCACTACAAACATCAGTAGCCGACATTACAATCAATGATGAATGGACTAAACAAATACCAGAAAACCCTCCCTTATGACGGATGATAACATCAATAATCGAATGCTTGTCTTCAGTACACAACAGAGTCTCAAACATTTAGAAGCAGCAGGCCCTGTGACGGTACATTCTATGTATGTCCTACACTAATCTACCAGCTTTACATATTACATGCTATAGTTGGTGGTACCCTGTATCCACTTGTTTACAGTCTTCTTCCTGGTAAAGATTTGCATATGTACACTAGACTCCTTATTGTTCTTCGAGAATTTTTTCAACAGTACGCCATTCAACTACAATCGAGAACCATGTTTCTCGACTACGGGGCAGCCACCAGGAACGCAGTAACTTCAGTCTGCATTGGCATCAACATCAAAAGCTGGTTTTTTTCACTACACGCAATGTATATGGAGGAATACACAGAAACATGACTTGGTACAGGCATTTCCTTAGGTAAAAAATTGTGGATTAAACCTGGTTTTATAGCTAGCTAAACCTCTCACTTGTATGACAATCGCATGAAAACATTTATCTACTTTTTCGAAGAGCTGCTGTTCTACCACTTCTAACACCCAACGCAGTTTAAGATGTTTTGTTTAATACTATAGAGGACGTGGATGATGCAGAAACTAATATACCAACACTTACGTTTGCAGACTATGTTACTAGCTACTGGATGGAAAGCAACCAAAGCCTATGGAACCATTACGCAACAGAATGTTTTAGAACAATAAATCATCAGACAGGCTGGTATAGCTAATTAGAGAAGTTGGTCAAGGCACCCACCCAAACATCTTTAGTATGATAAAGCTATTAAAACATGTAGAAGCCTTCTACGCATGTACCCTTCTCCAATGCAGAGCTGGCGGGAAACGTGTTCCCAAGAAAAGAAAATACCGTCAAATTGACAACCGACTGAAAACATTAAAACAAGAATGAAAACTCACCCCTATTTAGTATGCTGCTGCTACTTCTTACCTTTTGCACATTGACTTAGACTTTGTGAAGTTGAACAATTGAGTGCTAATGAAATGAAATGCTTTGTCCGAATGAAAATTTGTGCTACGTTGTGTTCAATTTGATATTTATTGTGTTAATACAATGTATTATTTATAAAATATGCTAAACAATTATTTAATAAAATATTGGTATATAAAAAAGGTTTCATTCTTTTTCATTTCCACAATTTTTACTTGTATTCACCTTGATTGATTACTCACATGTTATTACAACATAATCCAACTTATTTTAGATTAAATGAAAGACGAGTTGCTGACTTCGAAACCATGACCAATAAACAACTGGAAACATTTGAACTATCATGTCGATCAAGAATTTATCAACCTGTCAGGAATTCAAAGTCGACAACAGATTATTTTCTACAAGTTGCTTACGTACCCACTTTATAAAAATCAATGTACATGATGATACACAACAAACATGCAGCAGTATCCTGAAATAAAAATACCTTTAATAAATAAAATACATATATTCTTTTTAAAAACATCTTACAGGAAATCAAAATTTTGGAATAGATACCATGCATATCATGTGACGAGTCTTTTAAGAAATGTATTTAATATGCCTAATTTGAGTAGTAGGGTGTGATCAGTTATATGCAAGCTAGGCGTTAGGCGTTCACAATTATGGTATGGATCCAATATATGGTCATGTCCCTCCTCCCCCAATAAAATCAGAATTAAAAAAAAAAGTAAATTAATAATAGAAGTCTTGAAAATTTAAATAAAAAAAATCAAAATTCAAATTCAAAATTAAAAAAAAAATCGTATTCCTTTTTCAGAGAAAGGAACTGCCGCTGCTGCCGCTGTTGATGCTGCTACTGCTGCTGCTGCTGCCATCCAGAAAATTCGTTTTCCTCTTCAGAGGAAGGAACTGCTGCTGCTTTTGAAGCTGCTGCTGCGCATGTTTGTTTTTCATATAACTTCGAAGATCATGTGGCTAAACATAAACACTTCGACATAATTTGCACTGAAACATCTTCACCTTTTCTGCATGTGTATGCAATCTTCTCTTATAGGTTTCTTGCAAAAATGCAGCAAGCAAAACAGGTGGTCATCCTTAGGGTGACATACTTTGATATTTTCATTCCTCAAGACGAATTCGATTTGGTACAATTTGTTTCTGGTTACTTTGAGGTAAATGGGTTTTTCATATACGATGATCGCGATACCTTCGTTCTAAACCCCTGACGGTTGTAGTATCAACAGAGACATTTCTCCGGCATACGTGTTGATCACAAAGTCCGAGCAAAAGAAGACACGTCTCGTTTGTATTGGAAATTTCGATACGAACGATAATTCTAGCAGTGCACATTCCCATTCTCCGTCCAATATGTAGCTTTTTTGAAGTTGAATACTAAATGCCTTCCCGTTGTTATTTTCAAATAGCGAAAGAGAATCCTCGCGCGATAGGTAAAGGGAAAATTCATCCATCGGTTAGTTACAAGTTTTGCTTCAGGCATTCTCATAGACTTTTGATATAGCCAATTAGAGAAGTTGGTCAAGGCACCCACCTAAACATCTTAAGTATGATAAAGCTATTAAAACATATAGAAGCCTTCCACGCATGTACCCTTCTCCAATGCAGAGCTGGCGGGAAACGTGTTCCCAAGAAAAGAAAATACCGTCAAATTGACAACCGACTGAAAACATTAAAACAAGAATGAAAACTCACCCCTATTTAGTATGCTGCTGCTACTTCTTACCTTTTGCACATTGACTTAGACTTTGTGAAGTTGAACAATTGAGTGCTAATGAAATGAAATCTTTTGTCCGAATGAAAATTTGTGCTACGTTGTGTTCAATTTGATATTTATTGTGTTAATACAATGTATTATTTATAAAATATGCTAAACAATTATTTAATAAAATATTGGTATATAAAAAAGGTTTCATTCTTTTTCATTTCCACAATTTTTACTTGTATTCACCTTGATTGATTACTCACATGTTATTACAACATAATCCAACTTATTTTAGATTAAATGAAAGACGAGTTGCTGACTTCGAAACCATGACCAATAAACAACTGGAAACATTTGAACTATCATGTCGATCAAGAATTTATCAACCTGTCAGGAATTCAAAGTCGACAACAGATTATTTTCTACAAGTTGCTTACGTACCCACTTTATAAAAATCAATGTACATGATGATACACAACAAACATGCAGCAGTATCCTGAAATAAAAATACCTTTAATAAATAAAATACATATATTCTTTTTAAAAAAATCTTGCAGGAAATCAAAATTTTGGAATAGATACCATGCATATCATGTGACGAGTCTTTTAAGAAATGTATTTAATATGCCTAATTTGAGTAGTAGGGTGTGATCAGTTTTATGCAAGCTAGGCGTTAGGCGTTCACATTTATGGTATGGATCCAATATATGGTCATGTCCCTCCTCCCCCAATAAAATCAGAATTAAAAAAAAAAGTAAATTAATAATAGAAGTCTTGAAAATTTAAATAAAAAAAATCAAAATTCAAATTCAAAATTAAAAAAAAAATCGTATTCCTTTTTCAGAGAAAGGAACTGCCGCTGCTGCCGCTGTTGATGCTGCTACTGCTGCTGCTGCTGCCATCCAGAAAATTCGTTTTCCTCTTCAGAGGAAGGAACTGCTGCTGCTTTTGAAGCTGCTGCTGCGCATGTTTGTTTTTCATATAACTTCGAAGATCATGTGGCTAAACGTAAATACTTCGACATAATTTGCACTGAAACATCTTCACCTTTTCTGCATGTGTATGCAATCTTCTCTTATAGGTTTCTTGCAAAAATGCAGCAAGCAAAACAGGTGGTCATCCTTAGGGTGACATACTTTGATATTTTCATTCCTCAAGACGAATTCGATTTGGTACAATTTGTTTCTGGTTACTTTGAGGTAAATGGGTTTTTCATATACGATGATCGCGATACCTTCGTTCTAAACCCCTGACGGTTGTAGTATCGACAGAGACATTTCTCCGGCATACGTGTTGATCACAAAGTCCGAGCAAAAGAAGACACGTCTCGTTTGTATTGGAAATTTCGATACGAACGATAATTCTAGCAGTGCACATTCCCATTCTCCGTCCAATATGTAGCTTTTGTGAAGTTGAATACTAAATGCCTTCCCGTTGTTATTTTCAAATAGCGAAAGAGAATCCTCGCGCGATAGGTAAAGGGAAAATTCATCCATCGGTTAGTTACAAGTTTTGCTTCAGGCATTCTCATAGACTTTTGATAGGTTTCTCAATTTAAAGCATTGATTTTTTTTTCGATTTTCCAATATTTTTTTTTATTTTTTCAAAACATTTTTTCAAACTTTAAATTTTTATGATTTTTGTCATTTTTGTCATTTCAATTTTTTTTTCAATTTTGAATTTGAATTTTTAAATTTTTTTAAACTTTTTATTTTTATTATTATTTTTTTTTAATTCTAATTTGTTAATTTGGATGTTGGGCGAGAAAGGACATGAGCATTTTTTTCTATTTTTTTTTTTTATCTTTAAAAATTTTGTATTCTATTATTTTTTTTTTTTTTTTTTAATTTTGAATTTGAATACATATTTGTGCTTTTAAGCTAATATCTTTTTATTTCTAACTTTCCAGTTGAAGTTAAAATTTCCAAGCCTTCTTCTCTCTCGACTGTTTGCTGCCTATTGTATTCATGTTTGATGTGTTTAATTCGTTCTCGGCTTAAGTATGCATGCAATATTTGCCACTGGACGTTAAACAAGCAACAATCAATCAATCAACCTCAAGTCGGATGGTCTCTCTTGTTATTGCGACAATTTACATAAAGCTATTTTCAAACATATTAAATACTCTGTAATACTTCTTTTTTAGTGTGGGATTGAGTTTATACTCCGTTTTTCAGAAAAATGCAATTGATCAATTTAATACATTCACCTAATTTCTTATCTCTTTTTTCTCTGATGTGGAAATACAGGGAAAAGGTTATAAAAAAAACATGGTATACACATTTAAAACGGCATTAATAGTATTTAATATAATTTGTATATTATTAAATCTGTTTCCTTCATTATTGGTATCAAGGTATAAACTAAGTGATAAACCGAAACGTTCTTCGGTGTATTTATCAGTTTTCGAGCATAGAGTTGCTGTTCTTTACAAATATTTTAAAGTTAATAAGTCATATATTACAATCAATCAATATCGTGAGAAAAAATTTTAATAGAGGCACTACATTTCCATCTCGTTCTTCTTCTGACATATCTTTATTTTTGGCTAACATTAGTGTGTTGATAACTGTATTTTTAGTGGAGTAAAGGACATGTATGTAACATTTTATGTATATGTACACTATATTTTTGGAAATCCTCACGACCAAATGTCATAAGCAGAAAAATTTTCATGATGAAAAAAATTAACAAGAAGTGGCAAATTCCATACCATTTAGATACATATTATTAAATAAACAACTGCATTCAAAATAAGATAGCATTAATGTCAATGTGAATTCCACAAACTTTCCGCCATCGCAGTCAGGGTACGAAAAGGTTTTTTACTGTTTTGGCTAAATACATTATTTATTCAGTACACTGTTATTGTATTAACAATATACAGAGGTACTGCCTGAATTTTATATTAAAAAAAGGTTACTTACACGTGAAATCAGCTTCATTGAACTGTTTCTGTCTGCAAAGTGACAAAACAAGTAGACATATTGACAATATCAAAGACCGCTTGAGCTGAAAATACTATTATGGTCACGAAACATTGGGAGAATAAGGAAAGTGGAATCAACTAGATCGTGATAATTAATTAATTTATACAATATATCATCGTTTTAAAAAAAAATCGTCAAGGCTTCCGATTACATGCACAAGTAAATCCAGCGAATGATTTTGCACAATACTGACAATATATGAGGGTCTGTATCGGATTTACAGAATACAGAATATTGTGCCCGTTTTCGCGATTTCGCCTTTTCACCTTTCATATTCTATAGGGCAAAAATGCGAAGTCGAAAACACGAAAAACGCGAAGTCGAAAACGCACAAAAACGTGAAATGGTTTCACTTCTTGATTTCACGTTTTCGACTTCGCGAATTCGCGTTATCGTCTTTGCGTTTTCTCGTTTTTTGCGATTTCGCTTTCTCGAGTTTGTCAATTACTGCCCCCCCCCCCCCTCCCCCCCAGGTCTGGTAATCATTGAATTTTTACAACGAGTATGTGCATAAGTAGCTATTTTTGTATATTGTAGCGAAATATGAGGTGTAACAGACAGTATACACATCTTTTTTTAATGGTTGAAAAACGAGTAAGCAAATTTTACATTTTGACATACGCAAGCATTATTCTGTGTCAAATTATAAAATTGAGAATGGAAATGGGGAATGTGTCAAAAAGACAACAACCCGGTCATAGATCAGACAACAGCCGAATGCCACCAATGGGTCTTCAATGCAGCGAGAAACTCCCGCACCCGGAGGCGTCCTTTAGCTGGCCCCTTAACAAATATGTATACTAGTTCAGTGATAATGGACGTCATACGTAACTCCAAATTATACACAAGAAACTAAAATTAAAAATAATACAAGACTAACAAAGGCCAGAGGCTCCTGACTTGGGACAGGCGCAAAAATGCGGCGGGGTTAAACATGTTTTTTTTGAGATCTCAACCCTCCCCCTATACCTCTAGCCAATGTAGAAAAAACAAACGTTCAACAGTACGCACAGTAAAACTCAGTTCAAGAGAAGTCCGAGTCCGATGTCAGAATAGGAAACAAAAGAAAATAAACAAAATGACAATAATACATAAATAACAACAGACTACTAGCAGTTACTGACATGCCAGCTCCAGACCTCAATTAAACTGATTGAAAGATTATGTCTTCATCATATGAATATCAGGCACAATCCCTCCTGTTAGGGGTTTAGTATTATACCGTCATAAAATATATGAGAAAAACATAACCCGTGTCATGCCAACAACTGGTTTTAGAATAAATATGTTTAATTCCGATGCAAAGACCCTATAAGTGAATCGATCAATATCAAAGCCAAAATATGCAATCTTTAATGACCTGACAACAGTATCGTAACTATATCCCTTCTTAATAAGTCTGTTTAAAGGTTTTGTTAGCTTTTGAGGTGAATACTGACATTTTTGTGCTTTGTAAAGAATATTACCATAAAAGATTGGATGTGAAATACCCGAACGTATAAGATGTCTGCATGTTGAGTTATATTTACGAATGATGTCCTTATACCGATGATAAAATTTAGTAAATGTTTTGACTAGTTTATGATATCGAAAACCCTGGTGTAATAATGTTTCAGTAATACATAAATTTGTTTCGCTAAAATCTAACCTATCTGATACAAATTCGAATTTACTAACATATTAGCTATACTCAAAGATAATTACCAGAAGTTCCTTCAGCAAAAAATCAGAATGTTTATATTGTGTCATTGTTTGTCATTCAAAACTCTTAAAACAATCAAGTCCAACTGAACCAAGCTATGACAAAATCACTGTACTAAAAGCTACTCGATATGACGACTCTACTACCCGTGATAATAATAATAATATCTGTATTGAAAGAGAGCTACTCATTTGTATTAAACACTTTTCAATTAGGCTATCTACATAAAATGTTAACTACATGAATAAAACATATTCAATCAACCAATATGCAAATATATATATATATATATATTCATACATATATAACAAAAATAAAATAACTATAGTAAACATATTTGTTAAACAATTCAACACTGTGTTAAAAATATAATATAAAAATAAGGAGATGGGGTATGATTGCCAATGAGACAACTATTCAACAAAGTTCAAATGAAGTTGATGTAAGCAATTATAGTCAACCGTACTACCTTCAACAATGAAAATAAACATAGCATATAGTCGGCTATAAAAGAACCCGACATGAAAAACATGAAACAATTGAATTTAGAAAACTAACTGCCAAATTTGTAAAAAAACAATTTATGAAAAACAAATATGATTTATATAGACAATTGATAGTATATGCTTTACTGAAAACTGGTTTAATCCTAACGAGTAAATCTCTTTAGATAAATATATTTGTTTGTATTATTATAACACACATAAGTACTAAGTACTCGTTGAAAAAATTATTAGTTCTTGAAAATAATATAATCCAGTCAGGTTATCTTCAAATTGTGAATCATTATCCAATCAGACAAAAAATACGAAATGATTGACAGAAGGGGAAGTAATTGACAAAATCGAAAACGAGAAAACGCAAAATCGCTAAATCGATAACGCAAAATTAAAGAATGAAACCATTTGGTGTTCTCGCGTTTTCGCTTTTTCGCATTTTCGACTTCGCGTTTTTGCCCTTAACCGTCCACTATACAAAATAGATAAAGAATACATAAATGAAAGACCCCAATCCAGACCCTCATATATGCATGTCTTCAAGGTCATGAACATGACATTTGTGGTTTTAAATTTAATGATAATAGCTACATGATTTGTGTAGTTGTTTAAATAATGACATTAATCGTGTTAATTTATCAAGGGAATATAATTTTAAATATGAAAATAAGAAGATCTTGTATGGTTGTCAACGAAACAACAATCCGCTATATATCAAATGAAGCGAAAGTATGCCACTCTATGTAGATGTAGTTGTATGGCCTTCAATACAAACAAAACGTAAAGTAAGATAGAAAAAAAGGGCCCCTTCGTGAAAAAAATATAAAACCACTCAAACGAGAAAAAACATTAAACCTGACTTAGGGATGAGGGATGGATATATACCCCGCCACGTCCTATCTGTGTTTTTGTTTTATGTTTTTCTTTGTATCAATCTGATAAGTTAAGCCTTTTTCTACTGATTTTTATAGTGTATTTTTATGTTGTGCTGTTACACCACTGTTCCAGAATAAGGGGAGGGTTGAGCGCTCACAAACTTGTTTAACCCCGCCACATTCTTTATAAGCCTGTCCCAAGTCAGGAGCCTGTAGCCCAGTTGTTGTCGTTGGTTCACGTCTGTCATATTTGTTTTTCATAAATTATTTTGTCATAAATAAGGCCGTAAGTTTTCTCAATTGAATTGTTTCATATTGTTCATGTCGGGGTCTTTTATAGCCGACTATACGGTATGGGTTTTTCTCATTGTTGAAGGCAATGCGGTTGCCTATAATTACTTACATCCAATTTATTTGAACTTTGGTAGACCGGTAGATAGTTATCGCATTGGCAATCATACCACATCTTCTTATTATTATATTAATACTGAAACAGAGGAAAAGATTTCTCAAAATGTCAATAATGATTTAAAATACAAGACTTAAATTTTAATGAGGGTACAAAAATAGTAAATTTACATAACTCAGACTTTCTTTTTTTTTATTACATCCTCAAAACCATGAAAAATGGAAATAAAAACTTTTAACATATCGATGGACGGAACAATTAATTAGTTACTGCAATTACCTTTAGCGTTTATGTTGGGTTTTTTTTATGGAAAGTATAAACATAAAGACTAAAGCTTTTTTTCACTTTGAATAGTAATAACTTTCCTATGTATCATGTACAAGCAATGAACATATGACATTAACAATATATTTTAATGTTAAAGATACGTGTAGCAAAACACAAAATCGAATCGCCTGCTTGATAGGCATGGGCGAGCTTCTATTGTCTATTAACGTGCGAGTTTCATCAAACTTGTTCTCTTGTCTATTGGCATAACAAATAATTAAAAACAGGGATACACTCATTGGCAATCGCACCATGTCTCCTTATTTTGTATACAAAAGTCATAGGGCATAATTACAATATTCTGGCAAAAAGATAATATATATCATGTCCTACAGTCAGTACGACATACTGTTATATATTTAGAATTATATATAGTATATATGTGTAATTCAGTTTCGTATGTTTATACGGAATTGTACAAGTGATGTCCGGAAACGCCTCTTTTGTTTACCCTCTCTGATAATGTATGTCGTTCATGGAAGACGTGTTTTTATGAGCTAGTTCCCAAACCTACAAAAACTAAAGTTAAAAGACTAGACCCATATCCTCACATGGTGGGGAAACCCTAAAACGGTTTTCAGAAGACATTTACAAAATTTTTGAGTAATATCTGTGCAGGTTTCAAGACACAATTAATTTTTATTTTCTGCAAATGTGACTCCCGTGCATGTAGACCCAATGCACGAGTACTGAACACGTGGTTGTCATTCGTCAATGTGGTCAGGACACATTTGATAAATTATTAGAACATTTTGACCAGTGATTGATACGAACAAATGTTCAATTTATAACACAATTTTTCCACACATACATAGACATTTATTTTAACACGTCTATTCGCCATTTATACATAAACGAGTCTGAGTAAACAAATGCGTAATTTACACCAGATACTTCACCGAGCCTCTCTTTTGCGCACAGTACATGTTGTATTGTCTGATAGCAAGACCAAATATTTCGCTAACATTGTTGACTGGTCATTTCATCCTGAAAATAAAATATTTTGGTGGTGGAAAAGTGGAGCGGACACTGAAATTCAGTCTACTTGGCTTAAAGAAAACTTAGTATCTTACATTCACGAACTTTCCTCACGACATCTTACAACATACATTTGGCTAGGTATTTGTGACCTGACAGAAAAATCTGAAAATTTTATTCA